CACATTGCAATGTGCATCAACTATGTAGTGTCAACAAAAAGAGAGGACTCTTTGCATGCAATGTCCCACACTTTATCAGGCAACATCCTCAATTCTTAGGCAACCTCCTGGAATGGATATCATTATCATTTATTAAATAATAGTAATTGTTATGGGTGAGACTTGAACTGAAGAGCACCATGACTATCATAGTAAGTACAATATTCATAACTGTCATATCCGTACATACCCGATCCCGATCCAACTCCCAGACCCCCATCTTCACCACCTCCAGAGTCCTACCCTATCTCTGTCCGCTCCGATACTCACCTCGGACCGAACATCACTCCTCTCACCACCCTCCTCCTCTTATTCCTCATGACACCTCCACCCTTCCATCACTTTCCTACCCTACTTCCATCCGCTCCGATACTCACCTTTGGGCCTGACACCTTTCCTCTCCTCCACTCCTCTCCCCACTCCTCTCTTCTCTCTCCTCCCTCAGACCCTCTTCCACCAAACCTCCAGCAAGTTACAACCTTCTGCTGCTGTCCCATACCCAGACACCACTCATACCTCCACTCCGAGATTCCATCATAGTTCCAACCTCGGACTTTGACTCCACCTCAGCTTAAGTCCATTGCATTGGTGACCTCATATTACGTAAACACCATTGCCAACATTGTAATGTATCTTTCGTGCATTCCCCTCATCCTTATTTAGACTGCTGCTTCTTCCCATTCTAGCCAGTTAGTCATCATCCCCACTTCACCTCATCTTCCTGCCCCTCTGGGCTTCACCTCCCTATCCCCTTTCAGATGTACCACAGGTTCTAAACCTATGACCTTTGGTGCTGCTCCACTTTCATCTTCCCTTTGTCCCATTCGAATGCCTTTGTTCCAATTCGGATCCTCTTTGTTTCCTCATGCTTTTGCCCTCTCCATTATATACTGGTGCTTGTACATACTTGTTTTAGGCCCTTAGTCTAAAATTGACCTGAAATGCCCCCTAGAGACTTCCTGCTCAATGCCTCAGAAATTAAGGACCAAATGGACAAACAGCAATGGCACAGCGCTCCACATGAGTGTCAGGGCACACCCCACCTGACCCCACGCTGCACCGCCCTACTCCGCTCCCCTGCTATCACTCCCTGTTTCTTCTTTCCCCTTTCCTTCTTTCTTTCTATTTCCGTTCCATGGTTGACTTCCCCTTCTCTATGTATCACTACACACCTAACCCCGCTTCCCCAACCGCCACGCGCATTCCCACTCACAGAGCGGCACACCTCCGGGATCTCCCATGGAGATACCCAGGGGAGTGCGGCTGTGTGCAGAGATGACATGGCCCCTCCCATGTGACCCCAACTGCATGTATATAATAGTGCCTGGGGTGAGAACAGAAGAAGCAGCCTTCTTCTCAACTTCCCACTTCAGGTAAGTACTGTAGCTTCTCCCCTTTAATGATAATTCAACTTCCCACTTCAGACTAAGTGGTTGGGGACGCTCACCCTGCGACGGGACCGCTGCTATGCATAGCCAATGTCTGTCCCCTCGAATCCCTCGCACCAGGACCTTGCTGCTTTCAGAGCTGTCCCTGACAATGAGTCGCTGAGGCCAAGGTCCCTCCTTGCTAAGTCTCTGGTTCCCCTCTGGAATCATCCGCCCTTGCCCAGTTCTAACAATAACCGTTACTGTTAGAATGGGCGGATTCAGACGACTCCGGAGTGGAATCGGAGACTTAGCATGGAAGGACCTTGGCCTCAGCAACTCAGGCAGAGCACTGTGCCATTGCTGGTTGTCCTGGGGGTCCCTAATTTCAGATCTAGCAGAGGGGAAGTCTCTTGGGGGAATTCAAGTCAATTTCGGACTGAGGTTACAAGTTACTATGTACATTGTATATAAGGAGGGGTCCGGAATCTGTTAGAATGGGCCGACTCGGACGACTCCGGAATGGAATCGGAGACTTAGCATGGAAGGACCTTGGCCTCAGCGACTCAGGCGGAGCGCTGTGCCATTGCTGGTTGTCCTAGGGGTCCCTAATTTCGGATCTAGCAGAGGGAAAGTCTCTTGGGGGAATTCAAGTTGATTTCGGACTGAAACCAAGACGAGTATGTACAAGCGCCGATATATATAAGAAGGGGCAAAAGCACAAGGAGAACAAAGGGTGACCGAATCGGAACGAAGACGTCCGAACGGGAACAAAGGGTAGAGGGAGCGGAGCGGTACCGAAGGTCATAGGGCAAGACCTGTGATACGTCCGAAAGGAGGTAGAGAGGGTGAGGCCCAGAGGGGCAGGAGGATGAGGGGAAGTGGGGGTGATGACTAACTGGCTAGAATAGAAGGAAGCAGTAGTCCAAATAGGGATGAAGGGAAATTGCGAGAAATACATTACAAATGGCGAGAGTGCCGGAGGCGGTCCGCGAAGCTCAGGGGTTGCGGAGCTTACGGAGGTTACGGAGGCGGGGTTGGAAGTCCAAGGAATATTGGCAATGGTGTTTACGTAGTATGAGGTCACCAATGCAATGGACTAAGACTGAGGTGGAGTCAAAGTCCGAGGTAGGGACTATGACGGAGGCTCGGAGTAAGGTACGAGCGGTGTCCAGGTGCGAAGTACGGAACAACGGTGGAAGGTCGTAACTTGGCGGTAGGGTGGCGGAGGAGTAACGGAGGGAGGAGAGAGGGGACAGGTAAGGGGAGAAGGAGTGGCGGAAAGGAGAGTAGTCAGGTCCGAAGGTGAGTGTCAGAGCAGACGGGGGAAGCGTAGGAGGATAACGGGAGGGTGGAGGTGCTGTGAAGGGGGAGCGGAGTAGTAGGAAGGGTGGTGAGTGGGGCGATGTTCGGTCCGAGATGAGTATCGGAGCGGACGGAGATAGGGTCGGAGAGGTAAGGGGAGGGGTGTGTTGCCAAGACCGAAGGTGAGTATTGGAATGGCAACGGTAGGTTATGACTCCAGAGGTGAAGAGGGTGGAGGTCCGGAAGTCAGGTCAGGGTCGGGTATGCATGGATATGACAGAATCAAAAGGAACAAGGGTAGGACAAAAGGAGACAAAGGGAGATGGAAAGAGGAACAACACCGAGGGTCAAGGGTTTGACTGGAGGAATGAAGGGCCAAGGCCCAAGGAGGAAGGAAGGAGGATGGGAGTGGGGAATGGCCAGCTGACTGAATAGAAAGGAAGCAGCAGCCCAAATAGGAATGAGGGAGTATAGTGGAATTGAATGGAGCAATGCAATAGTTGCAAGGCCCGACATAAGTCCGGAAAGTCCGAACTCGGAAGTTAAACTCCGGAATATTGGCAAAGGTAATTAAATGGAATTAACTAACCAATACAATGGGTATAAGCGGAGGTGGGGTCAAAGTCCGAGGTCGGAGCTAAGACTGGAGGTTCCGGAGATGGAGATGCGAATGGGATTCTGGAGCGGAGGTCCGGAGTCGGGAGCATAGGTGTTGCACACTCATCTGGAAGGTGTCGAGGTTGAGGTCAGACCCGGGATGTTCCAGAGTCGGACCAAAGGTGGTGTCGGAGCCGGAGGTGGGATAACCTCTTGGGAGTCGGCAAGGAGAAGATGACAGAAGAGAAGTAGGGCTCCGGAATCAGTTTCGGAGTTCCGGGAGCCCAGAGCGGAGGTCGGGATTGTATGGATATGACAGTTACACTATTATGCATTCTCGGCTTCAGTGAAATGTTATAATGATAAAGTAGAGATAATCACAGGTCTTTTTAACATTACTGTAATGAGGCCAAGGCAAGCAAGCCACAATAACATGCTGGTATGCATGGTGGGAAGCAAATTACAGTAAAACAAATATTGGGGAAAATCACAGTGGGAGACCTTGGCATTATGCCTGGGGTCACAGGTAAAATACTCGGAATGTGTGTGCTGTTTAAAACTCTTCCTTAGTTTCTTATTTTGGAAACCATTGCATTCGATGTGGTAGGAACATATTTTATTTACTTATGCCAATACCGGTGCAAACAGGATGGCATGGTGCACTGTTGTGATTCCTGGAAAAGCAGCCAACGTGTGAACAGAGGGAGTGCTTGTATGATAAGAACTTAAGCATGAGATGAGCGTTGACAAGACTGTGGTATTGGATAACTCAGAACTTCTCTAAGTCCAATTTCCCACGCTCAACTTTGGTTCCAGATCGTGCACGCTTCTCAACATGCTATGCTATGCCTACCCCTCACCCTCATGGCCAGTTGGGTAATTGTATCTCCTGTATCCTATCTGGTGTGCCATCCACTCAAGCGCTGGGCATCAAATTGTTGATCTTAGTGCCACTTGCACTGCCAATTCAAATATGGGGCCATTTAGCAATGTTGGGTTATTATCTGTTATTATTGAGTGCAGTACAGATAAAGGCAGACCAGTATTTAGTGATTGAAGTGTGTATATTACATTCAACCTCGATGACGCTTTCTTCCAACCAAACAGAACCATGGTTGCCCCAAGTAAAACACCGACGGCACGAAATCCGAGTTTGATGACCCAGGTATTTTTCTAACCGGGTTTTTTCCACAGAGAAAAATCACATAGGTAAAATACCGCGATTTAGAAAAAACTATTACCTCGATTTACTCCCCACTGTGTAACACCCCATAATGCCTTGTCACATCCAGCAACATTCCATAATGCGCAGCAAAATTCCCGTAACGCCTTGTAACATGGAGCAAAATCCCGTAACACCTCGTAACACACAGCAAAATCCCGTAACGCAGTCGTACCGCGTTACAACGAAATCCCCAGCTTTCCGACAGTCGCAACGAATATCACGTGACGTTGCGGATTTCCGACAGCTTCCACTCCATCTATGATTGCGACATCTGACCCCCACCTTCTCATTGGCTGCTGGGCAGCTGTATCACAAAAACAATGACTGGCATTTTTCCCACATGTCATGTACATGATACTGAATTGATGAACAATATCAAATGGTATATTACTCTCTTACCCATAAGCGCACCTTGGATATGCAGAGATTGTTGCCATTTTATGGGGAAGATTATTTCTCCTTAGACACTGGAATATAATCTCTGAGGGATGCGCCTCCCTTCTCCCCCAGCCCTCTAAGCACATACGTTCAGGGCGTAAGTACTCCTTGATTCATGTTACGTACCTACTGACGCCACGCATATTACCCAGTGCCATTATTATACTTGCAGCCTTTCTCCAAAAGTCACAATGCGATTCTGGAATGGTTTTGTCCCAATTGCCCTAGTTCCCGTTGTCGCAGCTAGTTTCCACTATGGCGTTGTCAGTTGCAAATCCCCCATGAACTTGGAACCTCTAGAGTATGGGATAATCCTCCCCTCATACAACGGTGAGCCGGAGTCCAATATGGATTTTTCTCCTGCTTGACCCATATTTGCCCAACAGACACTTGCGAAGCTGCAACGAGCTCGAACCTTGAGGTGCAGCAGCAGTACAACCTCGGCGAGTCTGACCACTATCCAGTGGTCGTGTCAATTTGCAATGTTTTCGTCGTGTGGTCACGCTCCACTCACAATTGGACGAGCCTACATGGAACCACTGCTGGGGTGTGTTACGATCTTTCTGGCGGTCCGCAAATTCAGAACTGCAATGTTGGGGTTGCTGCATGCCAATACATTGACGAGGGCTACTGCACGTCGCACGTGTGCGCTACACCAGGATCTAGCGAAGCACAGTGACCAATGCAGAAGTCCGAAATCTAGACGCTAGCTCTCGTCACAAGCCCTGTTATGTTCAGAGCCGTTGTAAAAAATGATGATGGCAGTTTTCGTCAAACTTGATAAGTCAGATAGAGCACTGGTGCACCGGAAGTGGGGAGAATGACTCCAGTGAGAACTTCACCGGGGTTGGATGAGCACTAGGACCAGCCTCTTTTGGCCCATTGCATCATACCTGATTCCTCGGTGATCTGGAGACCAGTGCATGACGCCGCGTCCATCTCTTGGTCACCTCACTTGAGTAGAAGTATACTCGCCAAGCTTGAGGTGACAGAAGTTTCGTCGAACGCGTCCCTGACTCTGAACGCCTTATTGTGAGAGAACTAGCGGTGCGCTAGCGCGAAGACACGTTTAGTACTAAGTAATGTCTGGATGATCGAGAACATGGTCTTACTCACTGCGTTCCGAGCTGTCGTTTCTCCTGATGTTTCTAGTCGCGGAAATAGCTGTCCTCTACTTTCTACTGATATTTCTGAACGGGGCCTTTTTTGACACAACGGAAATTACTTGCTGCGGCCGAAAGGCCCTGCCAGCCAAGCTAGTCCTGCTCACCTGGAGCGGGAACCTCCACGATGAAGGGAAACTGCCGGACAACTGGCTTAACAGCCCCGGGGTTTTAGTGGGTATACCGGACCCCCCATGACCGGGGCCGGGAGTCCCACACCGCGCCGATAACCGGCCAGTGCGCAACGCATTTCCCCGCGGTGGCAGACCGGCAGACCACTCTATGGGATCTTATCTCCCTACACAAACCCCAAATACGCGACCATGTATTGCGAAAGCTACTGGGGTTCCACTATGGCTCCTAGCGGATCGGATCGGATCGGGATCAGAATCCGCGGATATGCGGATCAACCGCGGATTGTAGATAAAGTTGCATTTCTCAGAATTGTCCTTGACGAGAGCTTTCTAACAATCCCAAATTTGTCCATATTGGTGGAGAACTGATGGAAATATGGGGAGAATGGTGGAAAACTTGGAGGTCAAATGCCTAATTTGGGAATAACAGGCCTGGGTGGTCAAATAAGACTTGAAAAAATTGGAAGAAAATATGAAACATAGGAGGGGTATCTAGAACAGTAGCGACAATAGATCTGCGGATAATCCACCCATCCGCGGATTAGAAACCGCGGATATTATCCTGTCAAAAGCCAAATCCGCATCCGCGGATTTTCGGATAAATCTGCGGATATCCGAGTGTTATCTGATCCGCTAGGAGCCCTAGGTTCCACCAAAAGAAAAAAAAATTACGTGCTGTGATTTCTGTTGTTGTTTCTCTGAGCACTCCGATTTCTCCAGCAATTTCCGTTATTGTTTCTTATGCGATATTCTGGACATGGAATTGTGCTTCTCTAAGTCCACCTTACTGGTGTGCACTTCCAACATGTTCATGCAAAGCACGCCGTTCACATGGTCTCTGACACTTCAGAAGGTGTGCTTATTGTGCAGGAAATTTAGATGCTCCATTGATTTATGCTAGTAACCAGCACAGAAGTCTATAATTGGGGTCTCATCTCAATCGTTGACGATTCCGGTGGTCCTGTCAGGGCACACCCACCTGACCCGGCCCCACCTAACCCGGTGCCCCACCATCCACTCCTCCCGACCTCCCCCCTCTTCCCCTTTCTCCCTTCCCTTTCTTCCTCCCCTTCTTTTCTATTCTCTTTCCCCTTTATTCCTTTCTTATCACATGGACAACTTCCTTTGTATCAATGTACCACTGACCCGGCTGCAGTGTAACGCACCCGAACCCGGACACACCGGACCACCCCCAGCACACCGGATGCTCCTAGGACCTCTTATGGAGGTACCCGGACGGAGGTGGCTGTATGCTTGGGTGACGTGGCGCTTCCCACGTGGCCTCCAACCACATGTATATAAACACAGCCTAAGTGGGAACTGAGAAGCAACCTTCTTCTCACATTTCCCACTTTAGTCTCAGTGGCCAGGGACCCTTGTCTGCTTTGGGCCCGTTGTTACGCATGCCTGCATCATACCTACCGGACCCTCAGCCTCAGGCGATACACCCGGGCGCTCTCGACCCCAGGTCGGTCCCTGACAGGTCCACACTGACATAGCACAGGTAAGTTGGGCATTAAATGTTGTACATGTTTCTCATCTCCCTTCACTAGGGAAAACATGACCCCCTCCTCCTAGGGGTACTGTGATTTGGTTCAGTTTGGGTTCAAACCTAGAAACACCAAGACATGTATTTATGAATAAATGTTTAAACAAAAAATCTGATTTTCCCTGCATGCTTGGCTGCCTCTATCGCTTCGTACTCCTTCCACTTCTGAAGCTGAGTGCACTTTTTTGGCCTCCTTCCCTTCCTGGCAACATCGCAACAAGTTTGCCTTGGAAATCTGGATTTCCCCAAGGTGCTGGGGTAACAGGCAGTTGCGACTGTCTGTATCCATGTGTTTCACATGGTACAGATGATCCAGGGACTGTCATATCCATGCATACCCGATCCTGAACTGACAGACCTCCATCTTCACCACCTCCGGAGTCCTACCCTCCACCCTTCCGTGGTTCCCTATCTCCATCCGCTCCGATACTCACCTCGGACTGAACACCTCTCCTCTCACCACCCTCCTCCTGCTCCTCCTCTCACTCCTCCTCTTCCTCCTCATGACACCTCCACCCTTCCATCACTCTCCTACCCTTCTCCCGTCTGCTCTGATACTCACCTTTGGACCTGACACCTTTCCTCTCCTCCACTCCTCTCCCCTTTCCTCTCTCCTCTCTCTTCCCTCTGACCCTTCTCTGCTGACCCTCCACCAAGTTATGACCTTCCACCACTGTCCCATACCCCGAACTCGGACTATGCTTGTACCTTTGCTCCGAGATTCCATCATAGCTCCGACCTCGGACTTTGACTCCACCTTGTCAGGGACGCGTCCAGGGTCGAGAGGGCCCAGGGGTAATGTCCGGCACTGAGGCCGGAGCGGGGTGTGGAGCGGGCGTGCGTACTGGTGGGCCCGATCCGGGACAGTGGTCCCTGGCCACTCAGGCTGAAGTGGAGATGTGTTATTATTATTAAAGGGGAAAACTATACTACTTACCTGAAGTGGAGAATGTGAGAAGAAGGTTACTTCTTCGGTTCCCACTTCAGGTACATTTATGTACATGCGGCTTGAGTCACATGACGAGTGCCACATCATCCTCGGAGGCAGCCGCAGGCATCCAGGTGTCCCCGTGGGGGATCCCGAGAGCGTCCACTGCATGTGCACGTGCTGGGCACAGCGGGAAGCCGTCCAAGGTGTGTGGGCCGGATGGGTCAATAGTACATCGATACAAAGGAAGGTGGTCCGTGTAGATAGAAAGAAATAAACAGGAAGAGGAAGATGAGAAGAAAGAAATAAAGAAAGGGGAAGGAAGAGGGAAAAGAAAGGGGGGAGAGGGAGGAAGGAGGGGGGAGGGGGATAGACAGCGGGGAGTGGGTGTGGTGTGGCCGGGTGGGTCCGGGTGGACCCGGGTCAGGCAGGTGTGCCCTGACACACCTCAGCTTTGGTCCATTGCATTGGTGACCTCATACTATGTAAACACCATTGCCAATATTCCTCGGACTTTCAACCCTGCCTCCATAACCTCTGTAACCTCCATAACCTCTGAGCTCCACGGATCATCTTCAGCACTTTTGCCACTTGTAATGTATCTTTCGTGTTTTCCCCTCATCCCTATTTGGACTGCTGCTTCTTCCCATTCTAGCCAGTTAGTCATCATCCCCACTTCACTTTCACATGAGGTTTGCCACATCACCCTGGATACAGCTGCAGTCACCTGGGTGTCCCCATGGGGAATCCTGTCAGGGCACACACCCTGACTAGCCCGGACCCGGACCCAGACCCGCATGTGCGCTCTGCCCCGCATGCTCTGTGCACCGCATGCTCCGGGCCCGGTTCCCACTCTTCATGTGACTTCCAGGTATCCCCGGAAGTTTTCGCCATATTGGGCCACTGTGGGAAAGTGAGAAGTTAACCTTCTTCTCACTTTCTTACCCACAGTAGGCAAGTGTACATTACTTGCCTTTATCTTATTCACTTTCTTACCCACAGTAGTTATGCCCTGAGATGGGCTGTGTTTACAGGCCAGACTGTGGACTGTAGAGAGGGGTCATGGGGACCCAGGGTCCGTCGCCTGACAGATCCTGAGGGTGTGTGCTGCATGTGCACATGCTGGGTTGCACCATGAAGCTGTCCAGGTTGTCTGGGGCTAGGTGTGTTGTGCATGCATCATGGGTGGGTCAATAATACATAGATATAAAGAAAGGTCGTCTGTGTAGATAGAAAGAACAAAAGAACAAAGGAAGGAAGAACAAGAAATGAAGAACAGTGATGAAGGGTGAGGAATAAAGATAAGCGGGATACCAGGTGAGGGTGGGTGGAGCCAGGTTGGGTGGGTGTGCCCTGACAAGCTTACACTCCAAGAACCCCTTCTGGAACCCCCAGAAGTGGCAATGTAAACTGGGGAGAGTCACTACTTGCTGTCAGGGCACACACCCTGACTAGCCTGGACCCGGACCTGGATCTGCCCACTGTGCTTCCTGCATCTCTGCGCACCGCATGCTCCAGACCCCATTCCCACCCCCTCATGTGACTTCCGGGTATCCCCGGAAGTTTTTGCCATATTGGGGCCACTGTGGGAAAGTGAGAAGTTAACCTTCTTCTCACTTTCTTACCCACAGTAGTTATGCCCTGAGATGGGCTGTGTTTACAGGTTAGACTGTGGGCCATAGAGAGGGGTCATGGGGACCCGGGGTCCTGTCAGGGATTGACCCCTGACCCCACTGTCAGGGCACCCAACCACACCCCAGAACCACCTTCCCAGACTTCCCCCACTTCCCTGACCTCCCCATCCCTACATATCTCTCACAACTTCAGCCCGCATGCGAGCCCGTGGGAAAAATCATGTGGGTCAAGGTGAGCAACTCGCCTTAACCCATGTAACACCTTTTCCGAGTCACAGGAACATGCTCAGCTTCTACCCGGAGTCACGTTATGAACTGTACAGTACACTTCCCTTTTATAGTAGCCAAGCAGGGAATAGGG